ACAGATGATATTATTCTGAATTAGATGAATATACACAAAGTCTTTGATTCCTATTATGTTCAGGAAAAACTAGGAAATGTTTTCTTAAAGTACAGCCAAAAACACAGGCTATTGTTTCTTTTGCATTTGGGTTTTGTTCACAATGTTTTCCCTCCAAATAATACCCATCTTCCTGTGTTTACATTCATACACCAACAAAAACCATTCACTAAGAAGTTTCAAGTGGCCTCACAAGTGTGGTTTTGGCCTCTTTTTTTGAAGGAGTACTTAAAGGGAAGGCTGCTCTGTTCGTTTCTGTGGGCATGTGCAAATGTGTGCACATGTGCATGCATGAACTTGTAAAGACCAAACTGGCTTCCACTATGTTGAGCAGAAAAGATAGTTTAACTGCTACTTACACTAAATAAAGGCCACTGGTAATGCTCATGTAATTTAACAAGATCTCACTCAGTCTCTACCATCACTCTTGCGGGGAATGGCACTTGCATTGCGTTGTTACATGTCATGGTGAAGGCTGCTCAGGCATCTTAGCTATGCAACTGCAACAGTCTCTGAATTTCTTGAGTTTTAACACTGCTTTTGGGATACCTACAGAATTTCTGACGTTTATCCTTCAGTTCAAATAAATTATCACAACCATATTGACAAAAAAACACAAACAAAACCAAAATACTGCAGAGTTCATATGTTCAAATGGTTCCAAAAATTGATACAAACCCTGAATTTTAGACCAAGAGTTACAGATTAAACCTTTGTATTCACAGTCATTCCTAAGCTCCACTGTCACCCCCACTGTGTCTTTAGAAAGTCTTCAGCTATTGATTTCAGTTGTCCTATCCCGTGTCAAACTATAGCCATAAAATACGAGTTTTGCAATAGCCTGTAAACCACAAAGTAACTTTTTGTCCTGGGTTCAGCAGTAGCAGTCCATTTTTCTCCTTCTTGGTAGCTGGTGCAGTGCAGTGTTTTGACTTTTGGCTCAGGAACAGAGCTGATAACAATGATGTTTTGGTTTGGCCAAGGACTTTGTGAGCCTCATGCTCTGCCAGGGAGGAGGGAAGCCAGGAGGAAGCAGAGACAGGACACCTGACCCAAACTGACCAAAGGGTATTCCATACCACAGCACATCATGCCCAGGATGTAACTGGGAGTTAGCCGGAAGGGCTGGTAGACTGCAAGGTTGGAGTAGGTACTGGTCAGAGCTTGGTCAGGCTGGGGGGGGCGAGTTATCAGACGGCTGGTGGTGAGGTGTTGTATTCTCTTCTCTTGTCATTTCCTTTATCATTGTTATCATTGGTGGTAGCAGTAGAGATTTGCGTCATACCTTAGTTACTAAACTGTTCTTATCTCAACCCGTGGGAGTTGCATTCTTTTGATTCTCCTCTCCGTCCCTCCGGGAGTAGGGGGAGGGAAAGAAGGGGGGGAGTGAGTGAACGAGTTGCCTGACTGGGTTTAAACCACAACACTTTTGAAAATCCCAGAAAAATAAAACCACAGGAATCTGGCTAAACAAGGCCAACAGACTGTTAGAGGTAAGAAAATACTGTTTAAGAAGTTGAAGTCATACCCAAACAAGTGCAGAACCACCACCACTGGTAAATTCTATGCAAAAATCACAATAAAAATGGTCAAGAATATTTGAGAACCAACTTGCTAAAGGCATAAGAACTAATCCCAGATCCTCCCTGAACATGCAAAAGCAGGAAGCCTGCGACCACCCATAGGGAAAACAGAAGATGTAAACGCACGTCTTCAAATGAGAAATGACCATTGGAAAAAAGCAACATGAATTTGGAAGTACTTTTAATGAAGTAATTTATGGCGATGCCTCTTTCCCCCTGCCTCCCTTTTTTTAATGGGAAGGTATTGAAAGCTGTGTCTCAAAATGAAGCTTAAACAGAACAATTTTAGAATTAAATTAATTAAAAAAAAACAGGAGTAAAACCTACTGTGTAACTGTGGCATTGCAACTAACACTTTTCTTTGCCCAAGACAGGTTCTACAAAGGTAAACCACAGAATATGAAAAACATGCCAAGCAAAACTTAAGTAACTGGTCTTCTAAGTACAAGAAGAAATGAGAAATCTCAAGAAAGCCAATCTGACCTATTAAAAAACAAAAAGATATTTCCAGCTTATAAAGTCCCAGTATCACAAATTGCTACAAGCTTGGATAACAGAGCGGAAGTGTTTTTCCTGGTCACATATTTTAACTTCAAAACCTGCAAACACCTTCTCTCTGAAACAGGACATCAAACTATCTGGAGCTCTGGTTTGACCCAGAGTGACCATTCTCACGTTCCTGCCAATTCTGCAATGATTTCAATGTGCAAGACTTTGTATTCTGCATACTTTGAATTACTATTCCAGACTCTCCTCACTGCAGAGGTTCTCCCCAACCTGTTCAATCTCTTGCTGATCATAGCCTCCAAATCCCAAAGACATGTGCAATTTCATAAGTATGGAATCACAATGCTTTACAAAACCTGGCCCTTAAAAATTGCTGTAGGAAACTAATGCCAAAGAACATCCTTTTTCAAGACTAAATATATAGCCTGACATAACAATTCTCAAGACCTGAAGTTTTAGCTATCACTAAAAAATAGTTACGAAGTCTAAACCAACACAAATGTGAAACTTCTTATTTCCCAAAGAATCATGAAGTTAAAATTATTTGGTTTAACATATACTACATACCTAATGATTTTGAGCATAATTTCAACAAAGCTCTATGGGAATCAGAGTTAAACTTTTCATTCAAGTTTGAGGTTTTTCTAATCCTAAATGTGCTTTGATGAATCAGCTACTCTGAGAAGTCATTTAACAATAAATACTAAGTCTGTGCTCACAGTACTCAAATATACGCAGCAACCATAGGCTAATTTTCTTTTTTCTTGCTATACAAGAGAAAATATTCCCTGTAAAAAAATGTTAAGCTAAATTTGTGCCAAATTTACCACTTAAAGACAAATTAAAGAGACATGAAATTAAAACAATAAAATGTTATATTGCAAAAACCACAAAAACCTAAACTGACTTTAAATTTCAGTTATTTTATGTACATATTTTAAGTGCTTTTACATACAGTGGATAACGAAACATGAAATGAATGTGCATGCACACGCAGTTTTTAGTTATATGTGACACGCAAGTTTCATTTGTTGCTGGTTTTTTAAATGTATGCTCACACAAAACCAGTTCAGAAACCTACAAGAAGGGTGTATAATCACTATTACAGATATAGTCTAGCCTTATTTTAGGGACACCAAGTGACAACACTTATGTTCTCTTAGAGCTTTCCAAATTTTAGGCAGCACCTTTATTTTCTAAAGATTTCAGCCAACAAAGATATATGTTAACATATTATTTTCTTGCTCAGCCTTGGCAATTTCACCTTTTGAATATTTGCAGATGTTTATGCCCCCATTCCCATCTCCTGTTGTCATCCAGCCAAGTTGTAAGTTTCAGTCTTTCAACCTTTCCTATAATTTAATTTTTCCATCCCTCTACCCCTTAATTAACTTTATGGTCCACATTGTTGGATGCTCATATTTTAAACAAAAGTCAGGCATCAATATATTTTAAAACAGCACTAAACATAAATTACATTATAAAATAAAACATTATGAGCTTCTGAAAATGGAAAAAAGAATGGTATTGATTACAGAAGAGTTCTCACTTCCTGTAAACATTTGTATCTCGCACTCTCTCCCTCTCTCTCTCTCTCACACACACAACACACACACACACACACTTTAAAGGAAAACCAGAAACAAGAGTTTAATTAAACACCACGAGTCTGAATTTCAAATCACTGAATAAACAGATGGCCATGCTTCATAGACCGGCAGCAGTCTATTCCAATTAACTGGGATTGGTATTAATGTAATGCCATGGAAGCTAGAGGATTTGAAGCAAAGTAACATACACAAATATATATGTGCAATAGTTATAAATAGTATAATGTTATTACCACTATATAAAATTGGTAGCAGCAAAAAGAAAGAAGGCTTCTATTTAAGACCATCATTGAACCCAGACATCTCTAAGCGTATCAGGATGCTTCCTGGTACTTGCATAGACTTCAAATCCAGCTGACTTTGTAAAGAATGGTTTTAAAAGATTAAATAAAGGTGCCCTCAGCTTTTCTACTAACAATCTCTAATAGTGGACTTACACTCAGTATTATTATGGTCCCCAGTATGGCAACATTTAAGTATATTGGCTTACATAGGTAAGCATTTATTAAACTAAAACTAGTATGGTGTTCCTTGAGTAGAAAGATCTCCAAGATTTTTGCATTCAGTAAAACTTTCCTTTGCCTAAGTACTAAAAAGGACACTTGCTACTACTAACACTGAACTTAAGGATGAGCATCTACACAAGTTTTCAACAGTATGAGACAGGCTTAAATATACGGGAAATTAGACACCTATAGGACTTCAAAAGCAAGGCAGGCTATTTCTGATGCTCTTCAGTCTCTGTCAAATTTTAGTTCTACACCCTGTTACCTTGCTCCTCCCACTACTTCTGTAACAGGACTCTAACTTTAGAGTACTTGGGATATAATTTACATTACCTAGGTCTGAACTCTGCAAATTATTTTCACCTCTCTCTATACTGACCACTGTTAATTCTGACTACTGTGTTTAACACAGTATTTGCCTTGTAATAGCACTTCTTTACAAGAGAACAGGTCCCTTAATGCACAGCAAATGCAGTACATCCCTTCAGTGCGATACAAGATGAAAACTCACCTGGCTATTATTTAAGCAAAAAGACCAAATTAAGCAACAAACAGGGATCAAATCATGGATTTAAAGACAGTACTGACAGACACATACATTTATATGTAAATAAATCATACAAATGTATAATGTAGTCTGGAAATAACATCAGCATTTTAATTCACCATTCACAGAAATACCTTAGTTGGAAATTGTAAACTAATTATTGAGAAAGATTGCAACTTTTTGAAATATTTATAAAAGTAGTAAATACCTGAAGTACTCACAGCAGTGGAGTAAGGGGTATGAGCTCCTGTATTTTCAGCCCAGCAGCCACAACCATAAAGAGCTGCCTAAGGAAAGAAGGGCATCTTTCATAAATTTAAGTATTCAAAGTTTTTTTGTTTGCTTCTTCTCCTAAAAAAGAAAATGAAGCAAACTCCCCCCCCAAAAAAACTAAACCCAAAAATCCCAACAAAAAACACCAAAAGAACAAAAAAAAAGACTCAAAGAAAAATCCAAGTATTAATAGAAAAGATAAACAGAAAATCGCAACAGTCAATTACAATCCATCTTTCTTTCACTATTCTTCAAAACTGAGTGATAATCATAGACATATGGTGGTCTAACCTAACTTTACAGAAAATGAGGGTACAGGTATCAAAAGGCAAAATAATTCCTGCTGTTCCCTGATTACATAAAGTCCTTTCCACTCTGCTATTCCAAAAGAAAACCTTAAATGCATTTCCAAACTGCTTTTAGGACAGTGGAAAAAGTCAGCCAAGAATACAGCTGTACACACATGGAGTCTGACATTTCCTATGTACCTCAAAATTCCTCTACCTAATAACAAAGAATGCCTCTACCTGATGTGTTCTTCCAATACCTGTCACCTCTATCAATTCACAAGGTCATTTAAAAATTAATTAGGACAGCTTTCCTAAATATTGATGAAAACTTTGTTTAAAAACCACTCTAATTATTTAAGAGACTTTTAGTGGCATTAAGAAGGTATATTTCTTGGGTAAGCCCAAGAAATTAACTTACGAATACCTCTGACAAAAGGTAGCTAACTACAGGACAAGTTCTTACCTATTAATGTCTTACAACACTGATGGAGGACCCTGAAAACAGAACTTGCATTCCAATGCAGTGATAACGCCTTCAGAGTTTAATGGGAAGGAAGGGAGAACATCAGTTTGCTCCCTCAGCTCTTAATACCACAATTGCTTGTGACACTGAAGAGTCATTCCCAACTGAAAACTTATAATCACCTGACCAACTCTTCCAGGATGCTTTAGTGCTAAACCTCCACTGGAGACAGCAGCAGCAACATTTCCTTCTTGGTCCACAACAACTGCACCAACTGTATCCAATGTTCCTGAGTCATTCTCCTGCAGGACACACAAACAGAAACAACCAGTAAAAATAGTATATTAAAGTCAGCTTATACTTCTTGGGAGAATGCAAACTTACGTGCACAAAACCAAGTGACAGGCCTATCAACAAAATGGATTTGTTATCATGCATGTTGTGCTGCCATTAATCTTCCAAAAATGCATTCATGCCTCAGGCAGGACCTGAAGAAAACTTCTCTGAAAACAAGAAGGTAATAAAATATCTCAGAACTCATTAAATTACTAGATTACCTGCGTTTACTCAGAAAAGTGCCAAAAATGCTTTTTCCTTAGTGGAAACTCAGGAAACTTGTCCACTAAGAAATTATTCAGCTACCTATTCCAAAGATGTTGTGTCAAAAGGACTTTTTCAAAAGCTTCGAGATGGCATTTTCAGAGACCCTGATCTTTAAAGCTACGTAAAAAAAAAAAGAATCCGCTTACCATGTAAACAGACAATTCTGATATTCTAAGCAAGATGCTATGATTTCTATATAGGGAAGAACTACCAACGTGATGAAGGTTTTCTGGTTCATCCCCTGCCCCCCTTTATCAAAGGAAACTATAGCCACAACAAAAAAACGTGATTAATAGACAACTAGAGATACAAAAATCAAGCCCATCAAGGTTAGGAAATGCCAGAATTAAGGCCACCTGTTTAATCTTACTTCATATTAAATCAAACACTTGGAGCTACCATAATGAACAGGAATACATTTGAGAAAGATGAGGCTTAGAATGACCAGCATGTTTTCTGTATCATTTGACAGCAAAGAAGAAATGTTTGCAGCCTTCTTTGCAGCATCTGCAAAACTATTTGCTCAATCTGCCATCCATCTTCTACTTTGGCTCTCACATAAAATATTTGCCTTCTGTAGCTATATTACTAATTTCTCTTTTTAAAAGATATTTTAATCAAAAAACCTACAAGCATTTACAAATATATGTTGCATAGAAATTTTCTTCACCATTATTTCCTTTCAAGAATTATTTCCTATCAGTACTTGCTGTCAACTCAGTGGTATAATTTGCTTGCTCTGGCTCACTTTATTTTTAGATGCTGTAACTTAGGAAGCTGGAAATCTTTACCAAGGGAAGCATTTTTTTTTAACCTGGCCCATACAACCTTCTGAAGGAAGTCTGTATCACTGAAGCAAAGGAATTCTGTATTTTCCTTCTCAGTAATATAAGTCGGGGGGGAAAGGGGGTGTGTTTGTGATCAGAAAAAGAATCGCTGTTAATGCTGTACGTGTTCTTACTCCACAAACTGAAAACCAGCAAGGACCAGTTCTATTCCATATCCAATGGAAAAAAATATGTTGTCAGATCTTTCTAGACCTATTTTTATGTTTCCTCTCATTTCAACATTACTGACTGACACATTTAGAAGTGACATCATGAATCAATCCTGTAGTTCAGTATTAAAAATCTTCTACATTTGTAAACTGAACTGACGACCCTACAATTTCTGAACCAGTAAATGAAGAGCTCATCACAATTTTACAAAGGAAAAACTTTACTTCTCCATACAAAAAGGCATTTTGTGCCGGAGGAGTTCCAGGAAGAACACAGCTGCTAAGAAGACTTTCAGAGTCTCACATTTCAACTCTTCAAACCATATGAAAGTTGAAAAACCCAGGATCCCATCAAGCTAGTATCAAGATAATCAGAAGAAATATGTTAAACAGTACAACTCATGAAGTCTAAAATAAGTCCAAACTCTATATGGGTCCAACAAGGACTAACCAAGATCCAGCTTGTTTGCCATTACTTTTATGCATCTGATTCATTAATTTAACATCTTATGTTTAAAAACAACTGCAAATTCCAAAGGGAACTTGATTATTACTTGGTGAACGAATTCCACATCTGACTTCAGCTAGACATTTATACTAACATATCCACTGCAAAAGCAGTTTGGGGGTTTTAAAAATATAGCATTGCAACCTAAAAATAATCTACGATGCAGTTAATGTTTTACATGGAAAGAACTGAAGGTCAATGTGAAAACTAAGACCTCATATTACTTACTTAGCACCTTGCACAGGAAAGGAAGTTAATTTCATGAAATCATGGACCAAATATTCAAACTTAGCTAAGAACACACACACAAAGCAGGAAGATGCTCATCTGCACAAATGCAGATCTCTATCAAGTATTTTGTAAACCTCACCCTTACTTTCTTCTGTACATAAGAAAACACAATAAATAGTCCTCATTTTACAAGCTCCTAAGGAAGGAATTAAGAGTTTAGGAGAGCTCTACGCAGTGCCCGCTGAAAGATAACTACACACTGGACTTCTTTCCCTTCTTGGCTTGAGACTGTTCTGAAATTCCATAAAAAGTAATTACCACTGAAGCAATTAACATCTATATACTATTACCCAACTATCCACATGAAAAAACAGGATTTTGTATTTGATGACAATTAGAAGAAGACTGCCCTAAAAATATCGGGTTTCACAGTATCTTCCTGCTCAAAACAGGGCAACACATAAATCTTCTATTATGTCCCACACTACCCTTTAAAGATCAAGTGGAAACAGAGAAGGCACAGTACTGGATAGTGCTGTTATAAAATAATATATCAACTATTAATATATTTTGGTCTTTTAAAATGCCAGCTTTAAGGTGTTTTTGATGGAGCACTTGTATTGACTACAGTGGCCTTTAACAAGGCAAAAGGCAGTCTTTTAAGCAGCATTTTATTTATGAAAGTATTTTAAAGAAACACTTATAAATCCATCTAAGAAAAGGGAAAATGTCACTATTCTATGAGCATTGGGACCAATTCATAGATACCAATTTCTGGAAACATTTTCCTCTAGGAAAACTGACAGCATAATGTACTATCATAACAACCTAATCTTGACAGTGTATGCATGACTGGTACAACATTCATGTGTTTGAAAGGGGGCAGTTAAGATCTAATGGTACAAAGCTTGATAAACAAGCCTAGCTGTTCCAGTTTAATGGTTGCTTGGTATGTAAATAGAATATTTGGTCTGACCTCTGTGTTCAGGATGAGGGAATTATTTCACACTGAATTCCACAGATTAGTTTTGTTTTGTTTTTATTTTAACTGGAATGGATCAAATCTTTATCTTTCTTTTCCCATATTTTAAAGTATACTTTTGAAGTCTAAACAGCATTATTGTCATGAAAGACCATTTCAGTATGGATGTGGGAAAGAAAATTTATTCCTTTAAGGGAAACGAAATGCATAAAATTCAAACTCCCGTTCAAAGTGCAAGAAAAAGTAAAACTGACACAAGGACTGCAACAGTCGGCTGCGACTCTTAAAGGCCTCTTAAAGGCCTTTAAACTGCCTTAAAAAATTGATCTGAAGCAAAATTTAAGGCATTAAAATTCACCATATATAATGGGAATGATATATAATGCTATGCTCTGACTGTTGCTCACTCAAAGCGTTCAAGCTGGAACTGGCTAAAAGTTCACATGATATATTCAAGATGATCAATGACAAGAAATGAAATGCACTAAATACTGAAAGAAATAATGCTTTTCTGTTGGGCAGATGTATTTTTCTTTTCTAAATATGTTCATTGTTATTGTCCCAATACAGTAGCCGAAGAATATGAAACTGAATTCAAACTCTTGTACACACACTTGAGGACATGTGTTAAGCTAGGCAAAAACAAAGCAGATTTAATAAAACTTACAGAAAATAATATTATTTATGGCAATAAATAACTAGCCCATAAAAAAATAACTCGTAAACACTAACCTATATAAAAGAAATTACCCGCACTGGCAGTTCTTAGTGCCACTTATTCAAATCAAGGAGAGGACAACTCCTCTTAAACTTCAGCAGAGCCATAAAAATCTTGTAATAGCAGAAGACAACTTAAAAATAGGGCTTTTGGCCAAACTCTGCTAAGCTTTTTTCAATGACAATTTCCTCTGGTAAAAGACAGGCTGACTGTAAGACAACAAACATTCACTTCTGATGTTTACTGGTGCTTGAAGTGGGAACTCCAGAATGGTATCTGGCTGAATTAACACATCATACACTCGCCCTGTGAATGTGTTTACTCAGTTCACACACAAAGAATGATTTCTTAACTACGTAAATCAATATCAAAGTCACTACAACTTTCTACACCTTCACAATTTGTTGAAGTCATTAACAGACTGTGTGCAGTCTCATAACCATCTACAAATCCCACATTGGGTAAACAATGAAAAATACAGTAAAGAGAAATCCCACTTATTTGGGAAGTAAAAGTCCTTTAGTAAGTTGCACTGCCAAGTACTTTCTATATAATCTTTATTAAATGTTAACTGCCTCTCCTTTTTGAGGTTGGTATAATTTAACTGTTACTGAAAAGTGCTTTTTAAACTGTATGTTTAGTTTTAGCTGGTGACATTTATCAAAAGCTAAAACTTCCAAGAAGCATCAGCCTTTTTCAGTCCGCAATATATCTCTTCACATAGGCCTTTTAGTTATGGTTCCCACTCAGCTTTAACTTCATTAACATCCTGTCTACCTTGCTTTTCTCCCAACTTCTAAAATTTCATAGATGAAAAAATGACCAGAATTTATAACAACTGTGCATTAGAGCAGCAGAAGCACGTAAGCTAAGCTCCAGCATAGGGCTGAAGCAGGTGAGGCAAACCTGACAATGAAAGTCCTCCTGGAAGGCACAGGTCTGCAGCTCCACAGAAGCACAGCAAATTAAAAAACTGAAGTAAATACTTATCAGTTAAAGCTTAATTTTGACAAGATTAACTTCTAACTACACAAGTATTTAAACGGCTTTTTACACAGTTCTTTTAAAACCTTTTATGGGAGCTCAGCTTTGACAGTGGAAATTCTCGAATGACTCATCCCAAAGAAGTTTGGGTTGCCTTATCCTTGCTAAATGACCATTTCCTAATAACTTTGAAAGAACTATTCTACTTTTGGGGGTGGTTTTGTGAGGTTTTTTTAGAATTTGCTCTCGTAGAATTTGATTTTTCGTTTCCACTTCATTTTTAAAAACTAAACTTCATGTAAGGCTGCAACTGTCTCACACTCTGGGGATAATGTAAGCAGTCTACATTGACAGTATGGTTTGGTTTTCACCCCCCCCCCTTCATGGATAGGAAGTTGACAATACCAGCGTGTTGTTACTGGATTACTTACCGGTGAGTAGAGCTCTATTTGATCACCTCCTTTACCTACCACCACTGGCCTTTGGGGTTCTCCCACAAGCGCTGCACATGACTCTGGAGCCCTTGAAATTTCAAATTGCAGGTTGGTAAGCTCATGCATTGGCATATGTTTCAAGCATTGACTTGCCCCTTATTACATGAACATCAATACTGTAGAGAGACCCCTCCTCCCTCAAGTTACATTTTAATACTGTTAGTTTCACAAGGAGGTATGTGAAGTCCTATAACTAATAACTAACTTCCTCCCCCCTCTATCCTTACAGAGCATAAGGTCTCATGTACTTGAAAATAGAAATATTAGCCCCCTGCTCGGGGAAACTTCTTATCTAAGAACAAAAGATAACTGCCTAACTTATCACTGGCTTGCATTTGCACAGACTATAGGGAATAAACTTTTTTGTCAGTTCTCTGGGATTTATGTTATTTATATCAACATACGCAACTACGTAAGGCAGTGGTCAGTCAGCTTACCAAAGTGAAGAGAAATGGGTAATCTGAAAACCCACAGGCCCCAACTAATGCATAGGCATTTAATGAATGAGGCATATTTTAATATTCAACAGTAAACACAAATACTGTGATGGACATTTCAGAATGTTAACAAAAGCTGTAAATTCAGACTAACGGTGAGGAGAACAGAGGGAATCCTAACAGTTTTGCAGTACAAGTAATACGGGCCATGTCAATGCTAGATGCATGCACAGATGCACATGTTTACCTACCTGATATTTCAAATTTCATCAATTCCAGCTCCATAATGCAGTGCGCTCAGGGAACATTAAAAAGTGGGAAACAGTGACAGAGATCCCAAGCTAAAGAAAATGTTTCAGTAAATAATTATCTGTTTGTGTTTACATTTGTCATACTTCCAGTTCAAAATGAGCAAAAGATTCTTCATAGCACAAACAAGATACAAAGTGACAGTCTGGTTTTCAAGTAGCAAGACAGAAAGTTTTAGTTGTACTAAGTTATAATTATATCTGTCATTATACCATTAGGATGGCCGACGAGAAGTGGCTTCTAACGCTATATTAGTCTCATCATATACAACATGAAATGCATTAGCAATCTGCTATAAGTTTAGGATGACACAAGAAAATTTTAAGCAGGAACTAACCTTTTCATGTGATTGTCTTCTTTTCTTTAGATGAATAAGATCTGTTTCCACCTTTTCAGCCAACTCCAACTTCCTCTTGTTCCTCTTAAAAGCTGCTAAACTAAACCCTATGAAAATAGTTCAAAAGCATTTAAATAATTACAATTTACTTAATTTAAACAAATATTGATAAGTTGACATTTTGGAAGTCTCATCCCCCACATTTTTACTGATGCAAAACACACCAATAAAAATGCCAACAACTACGTATCTAAGCTTCAGTACAAGATGTTTACATTTTTTCCTAAGTTAAAAAGTTCTGCTATTGTTCAGCAACAGGGATGGGTAAAATATCTGCTAGAAACAACTTGCTGAGCACATATGGAAGCTATGTTGGTCTAAATGTCTCTCTGTTTGGCACAGAAGCAGCACTGCACAGAAGAGAACGGAATAAGTGGCTTGTGTTAAAATTATTGTTTTTGACTGCTGACAAGTAAATAGATACCATGTGAGCTCATTCTGATATCCATAAAATTAGGCTACTATTTTATTACCTTAATTGCATATGTGTATGTTTACCCATATATTTAAAGCCACACAATAGTCTAGCAACATTTTTACGTTCCATAATCCAAGGCAGTCTAAAGACCACCTAGTTCTTGAAAAGACAAACATGTATTTTCCACATCTAAGTCCCACACTCAGAAAGGAAGTGCTCTCCAAAGTGGAGTATAAAAAAATTGTTATGCTTAAGAGACCAAAATGACATGTTCCCATTTTAGAAGTTCCAGTTCACGAAAGAAAAAAATTGCAGACATTGACAGATCTAGTTTAAATCATTTTTGACTTAGCATTATCCACAGGTTGTTGGGGGGGTGAGAGAAAGAAATACTTTTGTCAATTGTTTAATCATGCAAAATCAAGCAATTAGGAGGGCAGAGTTATACACAGGTCAGTCACAAATTCAATGGAAGTTAAAAAGCACAGGTTTCCTATTGAATCTATAAGCCTTAAAAACTGTTATTTTAAATGAAATTCTAAACATAGCTACATCACTATTATTCAGAAGACTGGAACAGCTGCAAGAACACTCTGATTAAAATCAATATTGCACAGCCAACAGAACACACAGCTTGCGTTTACAATTCTCACAAAGTACCCAGGCAGTGAGCATTTTACTTCTTTGAAAGTTCCCCACGCAGGTGCCAAAAATCACCTCCTGAACTCTCCTTTAAACTTGTTTTTAAGTACATAAAACTAGACCTTAAACTACCACAGTTATTCACATATATAACCTAAAAGTAATGAGAAATCTGTCATTTCTCTCCAAAAACCTAATGGATACCATTTTCTTAAAACTGTATGTATGTATTAATCTGCCATCACCAAGAAAGGAACTGTCTGGCATACAGAGCTGATTAACACAGCTACTTTGGACAACACATTCATGTTTGAAATGAGTTCCAAAAGGCAAAACACAAACACTTGACAGGGGAGAGCAGACAAAGAATCATTTTAGTCTACTACTAAGAGGGGGGAAAGGAGGAGGAGCAAAGAAAAACCCTCACAAGGATCAAGAATTTGTAAACAAATGTACCCCAAAATAAGCCAGCCCACTGTTTTTAACAGATTTTTAATACCAGGAAAGCTTACAAGTTGACATGTCTTCAGTAAATACAGCAAATACCTACAGACAAAGCCACAATATGGGTAAGAATGATGCCTGGCCTTGGTACTCATCCAAAGTAGGTATGACACAGGGATAAATAGGCCTAAACCTATTACCCACTGCTGCCATTGCCTCCTGCCCATTCAGACAAAAGGTGCACCTAGAGAAAAAAAACCACAAGGGTGCAGGAGCCCATACATGAAAACCTGAACACACCAAGTTTTAAGTTGTCCTTGTACTCCAGAGCCTAATGCTAACAGTGCCCTAAACCTGTCTGCAGTATTTGCATGCTCATCAGTTCAAATATATGCACAAAGATCACATCAAAACCAGAGAACATGGGCTAGTTTGAAGCCACCCTTGCCAGCTACAGACTGCTGCTGTATGGCCACTCAGAATCATCACTCCAACGATACCCTAGTTGCCACTTATCCTGCCATTTTTTCCACAGCGTAAGAAATTCCCCAAGCTTGAGAGATGTTTCATTCATGTAAGTGCTCAGTCTCTGGCTAAGCAACTGCACAATTGTCAGAGTTTACCTTCTGCTTTAAGATTCTGTTCGTCTTTTCAAAACAAGAAAAAACCTGAAGATTTATTTTGAAGGATCTAACTCTTAAGCAGTAACTTCTTATCTGCACTGTTAATTCAAAGTGGTACCAGTACGCTTGGAAATACAGGGCACAAAAAAAATCATTATTAACAAAGTAGGACATATTTTACTAGGCAGTAAGAAACACTATGTAAGACAATAGGCTAGTAAGGGCTGGAACTAGATGATCTTAAGGTCCTTTCCAACCCTAAGCATCCTATGATTCCATGACTGTCCATGTTTACAGAATGGCTGACTCTATCCTACAAGGAAGTAATTCTGGTTGACAAAAAATTGTGCTTAGTCCCCAGGTGTTAGGAACATCCTCAGTTCCTGGGTACTCGTACTGGATAATCAGATATCCAGAGCCCCAGAAGATGCTGTGACATGTAGTTTTTGCCTACCTTGGACCATGTCAGACAGGCAGACTGTTTTCTATTAACATACAATGATGTAGGTTTGAAAGGCTCTTAAGAGGTCATGTAGTCCAACCTCCTAGGAAAAGCAAGTCCAATTCAAAAGACCTCCACAGGAACTTGGTCAAGTTTTGAATATCTTCAAGGATGGAGATTTCACAACTCCTCTTGGCCTCTGTTCCAATTCAATCAAAAGCTCACAGATGCTAATTTAGATCAGTCATCTATGATCCTATCCCTCTGCATCATACATCACCATTACTTAAGTAATATACCTTAAGTATATTAGTATACTTATAATTAATATACTTATAATTAATATACTTATAATTAAGTATATTAATAATATACTTAAGTAATATACCTTAAGTAATAAATGCGCAGAACAGTGTAGGTTAGGGAAGGCAGCATGTTTGCCTAGTAAAACACACAAACTGTCCCAGCTCATCCATCACAATATCTACAAAATCTAACCATCAGCTCCTATGGTGACAAATACTGCAATGTTTGTCACATTGGAAAGTTCACAGTGTTACACTAGAGAGAGATAATAGGTGCCAGTCACGGTTCTGTACTTCCAGATGACACTAATTTTGATGAGAAACAGCTGAGGGTTTTTTTTTTGGGGGGGGGAATTATTTTAGAGAAATTGTTTGGCAAGGTTTAATATCGTGCCTCCCTTCTCAGAGTTATTTATATGAATTAATGCATTAATTCAATCACTTTCATGTTTTATTCGGTGTAGCATGAAATGTCATATCTTCCCATATTGTGAGGGGAAAAAAAAGTCTATTCAGACTTCTCCTAGGGTGGAAACTCTTGAGCTGAGGCTACATTTAACTTCAGAATAGCTATTAGGATTAGCTTTCATCTGAAAGCTGAAGACTTTGTTTTAGCAAGGACTGATAACTGCCTTTCATTATTTCATTATTTTATTTTTATTACTATTTTATTATTATCAGTGATTACCAATTTTCTTAGCAAGAAGAAACAGCTAATGCCTCCGAAGTGGCCAAAGAATTGTGAAACAAAGGGCTAGTTTGTAAAACAAACCCTAATAATTTCTCTTTTTTTCCTCTGGCATAGATTTACACCCAGCTTCAGATGATCAGTTGAAAATAAAATGCATTGAATCTTAAATATTATTTTTCCCCTAGAATAAGGGGATGAAGGCTAATAAGCAAATGAAGGGCTCCCTGCCCTCAGTTTATTCCTGCCTTCGCAACATTCTATCTATGTAAAACCGCTATAAATGCCATTAAACTGGCTACTACTCTGGTTGTTTTATCTTCTACTAATGACAAAAGAAACACAAGTGAGCTTCACACTAAACAAATGAAAGATATAATTCAAGTTTTCTGAAAGCATCCTGTAAGTTTGGTCTTTGACAAAGAATATATTATGCAGTTTAAAACACAATAATGTTTTATAAACTTAAAAAAATCTGGGATTCAAATGTGCTTGGTTAATGACGCACCAGAACATGGAAAAATAACCCACTGAACACCTGCTTTGAAAATAAGTGCTATACAGAGAAGGAAAAAGCCTAAAAAGTGTTTAAGTTTGTAATTCCCATTACTTCTAAACCTTAACTTTGTGGTGCAAGGAAGCTGAGAAACTTCATTTGTCCTAAATGACAATACAAAACCCACTCTCACCTTCTCCAACAAGACAGCACATTCCAAACATGAGAAGAGGAAAGGGACAGGACACAGTGCTAAAGACAGGCATGTTTTCCTAAAACAAATGTAATACAGGTACATCAATAGCTACAGCAAGCTCAAGGCCAGGTTGGACAGAGCCTTGGGTGACATGGTTTAGTGTGAGGTGTCCCTGCCCATCGCAGGGGGGTTGGAACTGGATGATCCTTTCCAACCCTAACTATTCTATGATTCTACAATCAGCATGATGTAGCTTGGCTAAGGAGAAAGGGAAGCAAGAGACGTAGCGCTTGTTGACTGGGAGGAGAGGAAGCTAAAGAAAGAGAGGGTAGAGATGGCATTTTAGTTTGAAAACTTCTTGGATCACAGTCCAGAGGTATTGTTGTTGGAATCTACAGAAAGTTATTGTGGAAAACACCCTTTGATTTTGCTCAGGAATTTGAAAGTTTAGATGAAAATCAAATACGCGCTCTCAGCTAAAAGTCCCTGACAATTACTACCCTACACAGTAATAGCACGTGGACTCAAAACTCATTTAAGTGAACTGTGTCTCGGAAGCCACAGAGTAGAACCAGCCGCTCTGTTTTGTGCTCTTTACATTTATGGCTGTACTATAATAAATAAAACTACTTCAGAGCTCCTGGGAGAGGAAGGAAAAAAGAAAAAGAACAAAACTCTTCACAGCTTTACAAAATGATTGTCTGTTAAATGCCATGGCTCAGGCCTCATCCAGATTAAAGACATGTAAGAACTGACAGCAGAAGCGTATCGGAACTTGAATATCATTAAAAGC